AAATATTTCCATGAAATTGTGTTTTGTTTCTGTAAACGGCCCCAGGGAAACTTACTTTGAGGACGCGTCTCGTATCAATATATCTGTGATCTCAAGGATGTGTTCAGTTCTCTTTTGTTGATTGAAGTTGACTTGACTGCTGTAATTTTTCAGGGTAGACGGTAGATTAAACAACACATGAGAAGAATTTGTTAGACTGAAAACTAAACTTAACAATTTAGTAGTTTAATGTACTATAAAGCAGATGTATTTCTTATACCACAATGACGCAGTCCCCAAGGATTTTGTACTGGTTTCACCATTAGACCCGTAATGAACTGGTGCGATTTGCCTGTTTACAATTACAATTAATAAGTTATCTCTTCTCTTGGTGGTCTCTGGCATCCCGAACGATATGTCCACACCTCTTCCTATCTTGAGGTACCTTCTTCCAGTTGCACACTTTCATCTTCCTCTATCGAATCAATCCACCTTCCCCTTGGTCTTACTTTAGGTCTTGTTCCCCACAATTTCTGGTTTAATACCAAATCCTCTCCCATTCTGATCACACGTCCCGCCCTCTTAACCGTTTAATGTATCTCATGATGGATCGATTCTTCTAAATTCTATACGATCCATCATTCTTTAGGGGGCCAAAGATTTTCCGTAGATTAATAAGTTATGAGGACATATTAAGAAACTCTGTCTAATTATTGGACTCAAAATCATAGACGTAGGTTACGTATGCTTATTTGACTTTTAAATGCACAAGCAGGAGTGTGTAGTCATTCAATATGTGCTAAAAAGTTACAGATGAGTCATTCAATTAATTTATAACGTAAATACAAAACTTGCTCTAACTAATTCTAGAACGATGTACTTTCAATGTAATAATTGTTTTTGAAAGCAAACTGACGACCTTGCCATACGTGCTTATACATCAAAAATCTATTTATAGTTTTTAGAACAATAATATGTATCGTGTCTTACAAAATAATTGGATTTTCTAGATAAATTGATTATATCATTAATGAAATCTCCATTAGATTTTAATAATATCCACTCATCACTATGATTTAGAATGGGGATGAAAAATTATAATAAAATCAAAATTTTAATAATAATTCTGAATTCACAAAGAACGCGTTATGTGAGGAATTGACAGTATTTTTGGAATATTATGTCTGTGAAAATGGACCCATTCCTATAATATTCAGAACAAGTGACTTTTTTCAGGAAGCAACTGACACTTCAAGTCGGCCAGAGCTTGAATCTGACCACTCACAGTGTACAGAGATTTCTGACGTGGCTCGAAATATCTCGACATGTCTTGAGGAGACAGTCGGACTCTCGGCCTGTGGTTTACCTAAGTCTCTCCGGGCGAATGCCACGACGCCTCCTTCCAATTCCTTACCTCAGGATAGTATCCCACAGCTCATTCGACGCTGTGAGTCTTCTACAGTGGAACAACAGCTTCCATAAACCCAAGAATCATCCCGTCTGATGCCGACTGCCGGAATGCATGGATCTTCACCTCCCGACAGAACGGACCGCCTGTGCCTTTTCTCCCTTCCATGCGAACAATACGACTACTTCTACGTATAGAGCTGATGAACATTGAGCTGTCAGCTCCAGTCGTTTCCATTTTCATAAGAAACAATTCGCGTCATTTCCACATTTCAGTGTCGCGTGTGGCAACCGACATGTTTTTCTCAAGCAGTCAGTGGCACAATGGAACAATTCTAAACGTTTTTAATTCACAATCTCATCCTGTGCTCCTGTTCTGACAGGACTGAGTCTGAGTCCCTCGGTTACAGTGCGCGTCTGTTGTCCCTGTCGATGTCAAAAGCTAATGAAAAGATTCGAACTGCGGTCTGCGTCTTGATGGCTTCGTAAATCCTGGTTTTTGTAGTTCTATAATCTGTGCGTTGTCCCGCTGGGCACATTGTGAAGTCCCGGTGGACACGCGGCCAGCGGGAAAAGGGGGCTCTGCCCTCAAACCAGTGACTAAAACTATGAAATAGAAACCCGTTTGCTTACTCATGCCCACAAAACAAAGATCAGGTCAGAAATAACATTTAATTTTTTATAAGCTGCGCGGAATAATGATCTTGATAAATGCCGTGATGTGTGAATTAGGAAACCAAGGTGTGAATTAGAACTGACAGAGGTGGGAATTCGATATGGACAAATCCACTACATGCAGGGTGGAGTAGTGTTAATTCTCACAGAGGCTTGAGATAAAAGCTAACCCGGATCATGTGCAGGGAGTCAAATCTGACTGATAATACAGCCCTTTATATTCTTACGCGACTCGGTAAGAACGGGATCCTCTCTTATACAAGTTCCCCACCCACGCTCTGCAGATTGTGTCAACTGCAGTTCATCTGAACCTCTGGTGGTATGAGAGAGTACAGTGTCGTCCAGAAAAGCACGGTATGTGTAGTTTTAGGTAGCATAGTTTAATGTAGTATGTTATGATGTAGTATAGTACGGTGCAGTGTAGAGTAGTGGAGTGTAGTTTTGTTTAGTATGGTGTAGTATAATTTTGCGCCGTGTTAAGAACTGTTAATATGATCGTAAGATATTTATCATATTATAACAAGAGTTGTCATTCAATAAAAAAATGTGCCAGGGCTCCCAAAGTCGACTGGATATGTATTTCTTCCACCGAAATATTACGTCTCTCTTATTTCGCAGCAGAAATTCTGTAAAAACGTAAACTCTCTTATTTCGCAGCAGAAATTCTGTTAAAACGTAATTTTTTTTTTGTGTATTTCGAAATATTTGTCTTCAGATAGAAGGTGTAGATTATATTAAAAATAATAAATGACTCTACGCTGGTGCAATGCTCCGGAAATAAGCGAAAATCGATTGAGATCGATTTCGTTTGAATGTATCTCGAAAAATGAAAGGAGAAA